TTCTCAAAGCCATCGCTCCCACTCGAATCTGACTTCGTTTGGATTGTTTTTGACAATTATTGCGAACCACCGTGTATTAGAACACCTCCGTCGACAAATTCGTATCGCCGACAAAATTTTTACTATTCATAAAATTCACTATTCATATGAATAGTAATGAATAATGATGAATAGTAACCTCACAAAAAATTGACAAAATTCACAACCAAAAGCTCTGATTACTAGTTGTTGGGAAAATAACTGAGTAACGAGTAATTTCCCTATAACCAGATTAGTGAGAATGCGAAATAAAAGCGGAAAAATAATACCCGAAATTGATAACAGAGTTCAGCCAATTATGTCTACGTCTCCGAACTGCTGCAGATCTTTTACTAAGAGAGAAAATTTACAGGTGTTTACAAAACACTCACTACTCACAATTAAGCTCTCTAGTATTGGGAGAAAGAAATGATTTGGGATGATTTTGAAGCTAAATGGGTCAAGGTATTTATAGTTGAAGCTTAAGGACTAATCTTATAAATACCCTAAAGTGCAATGACTAAATTGCTGATTTTACCATTTCCAAATTGTCAATAATTTCTCCTGCCAACTTGCACCACCGAAAATCTGCTGAAATCCCACTGAAAATTGCTTTGACAAATGTAATGTGTGGTGCCTCCTTGTTTGACAAAAGTCATGTGAAAGCATGACTTTCAACAATCTCTCACTTGAAGACTGATTTTAATCTGTCTTCACACCTCGATCAATACAGTAGTATTTTTGTTCTTGTTATTCTTGCATGTCAACTGAAGCTGAACACAACTTCAGTTTGTCTGTAGTCACCGCCCTGTAAACCCACTTGTTATTAGGTAGTTTCTCCGTGATTACCTTGTCCCTCAACGTCTTGGCTCCCTTCGACTCTTGTCAACTAGTCTTTGAAGGATTGTTCCTCACTTGAACATCCTCGGCAAGCCCCTGCTTCGACCCTTCTCTTACGATGGTCTCCGAATTCTCTGTTATTCGTCTTTCTAAATTTTTCTTAGCGATTAAACAGAGTGATAATAGACCTTTTATCCGCAGGTTAACCACCAACTCCTTCCAAAACGACAGATTCTCTAGCGAATTGATCTTAAATATCAAATAAGAGTAGTTTAAAAAACCTAGAACTTCACATAAAATAGATTAACTAAGATTTGTTTTATCAATATCGATTCTAAATGGTTTGTCTTTTTGTGCAAAAGAAATATTCAAATTGATAAAATGTTAAAGAATGTAAAGCTATATTTAAATTATTAAAATCATAAAAATTATTTACAAATATAAAATTGATGAAAAAATAAAATAAGTTTCGTCGACTTAATAAATTTTCATTACATTTTCGTTGATTTAATTTAAAATTTAACGGTCAAAAAGATTAAAAAAATTAAGGACTAAAATATCATTAAATCGATAAAATTTTACAGATTAAGTACAACATATGAACACCACTTTTTAAAATAAATATTGAATAGTAAATATACAAAAAAAAAATAGAAGAAAAAAGAAGAAGTAAGATATGCCTAGGGATTGGCATGGGTCGGGTCGGGTTTTTGTTCCACCCGACCCGACCAAAACAAGGTTTCACATGACTCGACCCCGACCCGATATATAACTTAGAAACCCGACCCGACCTGAAATAATAAAAAATATTTTTATTCAATAAAAGCATTAACTTAATTGAAAAAAATTATAAATGGATGGGTATTATTGTAATTATTCCTAGATATAAAAGGTAAAATTATATATTTTTTGGGTCTAGTATTTTTTACCCTAAACCCGAATCCTACCCGACCTGACTCCAACCCAATTTTTTTTAAAATTCCGACCCGATCGGGCTCTGGTCTCATGCCCATCCCTAGATATGTCTTAATTTAAGATTTGTATAAAGGAAAGTACACATGTTATATATATATATATGTATTACATGCATAAAAAACCATGGATAACAAGCAGAGACGGACAAAAAAAATTATGTTAATAGAATCAACTTCTAAAATTTTAGGATGAAACAGACTTATAAAATTTAGAAAGACAAAAACAGATTTTGAGTAGAAAATATATAAAAAAAATTAAAATATATATTAATTTTATATTTTAAAGAGATGATTGTCCTTACATGTTCCCTCGGTTAGATATTAAAACGGGTAAAAATTAATAGTTTAGGTATTAAAATAGATAAAAACTTATAGTTTAAGTATTGAATGCGTAGTTTACCCAATCTTATATTAAGAGAGCCTTAAATTGATAATAATGGATTGTGTTAATTGAACTATAAATCATTATCCATGTGCAAAATATCTCAAGTTAGCGTTGAATTAAAGGTCCCATTCCTGCATGAAAAGATCCCCAAGTTCTACGCGTGGAGCTCGCTACGGTTCCTCGTTCAGGAACTGTTTTCTGGGGGTCACATCAAGTGTTCTTCTTAATTAGCATGCATTTTTTGCTTTTGACTGCTTCAGAAATGTGTGTTGGGGTCATTGATTTGCTGCCCTTTTAAGAGTCATGTTCCCGACATGAGAAACCTCTGCTTTGGCAAAGAGGGTTGTCCGCTTGGGTCGACAAGAAGTTGATTTTGTGCTTGATTAATGACCCCAACCAATGATTTTAAAAGCGGACCGAATCTTAAATCGGTGAAGGCACTGGTTCAATCGTGGTTGAATCGAGTTGAACTGATTTATATAAAATAATTTTTTTTAATTTTACATAATATTTAAAGCAATTTTAATATATATATATATAACACTCTTTTTAAGTTAATAATATTAAAATGTATAAAAATATCACAAGTCATAACATATATAAGTTAAATATCATAAAATCAAGTGAAACAAAATGATTCAAATTAACTACAACATAATATTTAAGGTAAATATCTAATGAAATTCATCAACAACTAAATAAAAAAAAGTATATAATTGATACAAGTATTAATCATCATAATCAAAAAATAAATTTGGGACTAAAAAAAATCATAACAAACGATGTCGTTTGGTTTAATTAAAAAAAACAGAACGGTTTGAACCGGCCGGTTTATACCGGTTTTGCCGGTTCCCAACCGATTCTATGCAAGATTAGTTTTGGAGACTGACCGGACCGGACAGGTAACTAGTTCCCGGTTTAACCGGTCGAACCGACTGATCCCGGTCTGGTTTTGATAACCATGACCACAACACGAGACAAAGACAGTCCAAAATATCTTACATTGGAGCCACCCAATTCGTGAAAAAGAAAAGAAAAAAGGGTTTCTGTCCTTGAAATATCACCGATGTTTTCTATTTCCATGTAAACCATTTTCGGTACTTCAATTATCCGGTTACTTCGTACAATCATCTTTAAAAAGTAACATTCAATAGATTTAGAATCTGAATCCTAATTAGGGATAACAATTGATTCGCTTCCAATGGTTCCGACCCAACTTGATAGGATCGTTTAAAAAAACCGAATTCTGGTCGGATTTGGTTCAAGTTCGAGTGAAAAATCTCATATTCGGGATAATAATATAATTTTCTTCTATATACGTAAGGATAATTGTTATAATACCCCTCTTAATATTTTTTTTCAATTAGATTCTTATTTTACCTAATAAAAATAATTTTTATATATGTTTCAGGTCGAGTATGAGTTTTTACCCCAAAATTTGGATCAAATTAAGAGTCGAATGTGACCTTCCTAAATTCAGGTCGGATGGAGTATACTTCTCGAATTGGATTGACCAAAACTCAATCCGACCCCTTATCATCCATAAACCTAATATTTACAATCTCTTCACCTATCAATAAACTTCAATGTGTTTCATACAACAACAAAAAAGGTCAAATTGTAAACCTTATCAATTAAGAATACAAGTCCTAGTGACATCCTTGAATTCTCCTCCATAAAACATGAGATTCAACAATCAAAGTGCACCATCTTGAAAGAGACCTGATTTATCACTTTCCTAAAGAGTGTTTGATACAATAGAAAGAATTACTTCAAAGACCAAATAATTATGCTCTCGACATACAGCTGGAAAGAAATCGACCGGTGAACGTCGAAAAAAGTTCGACTTGTGAGTTAAACTCACATGGCAGGCTGTTTTACTCAAGTGAAGAGGCTTTTAAGTTAGGGTACATAATGGAAACATAACCCGTTTTGCAGGGTAATGCATACTATCTTTCCTTCTATTCCCTTAAACCTACACTCATATCTTCACCCATGTTTAATATCCACAAGGCAGAAAAGGGGAAGAAAGGAAAAAGTGTTCCAGGTTTATCTTTATATTTGCATAACATGTACGGGTGCAAATTAACCAAGCTTGAACGCATAATGTTGTGTATATGATCGTTTCTTTATTTTGAAAAGTGTTAATATTTGATTCGTGTTCGTTTATTTATTGTTCGCGAACATGTTAAGTAAATAGGTTTCTGAACGTGTTCAGAAACGGAGAAATTATGTCATTAGTCCTTTAGCTCCTTAGACTTTATAGTTTGGATTCCGAAATTCACTCTGAGTTCAATTTAGTCTCTATCATCACCAATATTTAAAATGTAAAAAAATAAAAGGAAAAGGAGAACCAAAGCTTATAAACAAGTCGATAAACAAGTTTGTTCGTGAACATAAATAAACCGAACAAGTATTTGTTCGTATTCGTTCATTTATTAAATAAACATAAATTTTTTTCATTTAACTTAATATACGAACGTTATAAGAACACTTCACATAAATTTAATTGAACGCTCTATTGATTTACACCCTTAATAATATGGACTCCACCGACAAATGCTACAAAGATTCAACATCAAAATACCTCCAAAATGACCAACAGAAACAGCCGAACTTCGCCAGTTCAACCAATTGACATTCACACTTATCTATTATACAAAGACTGCACAAAATATGATATCGAAAGCAGATCTTTAACTTAGCACCACATGTTCGCTTACAGTTTTCGTATAAAGCAATGCTCTAAGCTAGTCATTTGTACTCGATAGACATTTGTGACCTTTCAAAGATGCAAAGATTTGAATTACTTACGATGAAAATGAAAGATTGGTCTCTACATGTCTCTTGTATTTACAAGAGCTATAATTTAGTCATGGATTCAAAAATGTTGATGTCGTTTGGATGAGCATTTGCCAGCTCTCCATGAGATTTATGATGACAAATGAGGCAATACAACTTGTAAAATCGGGGCCTTGGAAGATATTTCTATGGCATCCCCACTTTGGATAGGATAGAAAACATGAGAGCCATCGAAATATATGAAACCCTCTTTAGAAAACCATGCAGCATCCATCGATTGATCTGGCTTGATTAAACCGTGCATTAAGCTAGAATTGGCTGCTCCAGGTGAAATAGGCTCTCTTACCATATATTGGAGATTCCTAGACAAAATAGGCATCGCAAATCCTCCTGCTGAGAGCATCGCAGCTGTTGATCCTGCCGCAGTTGAGATTCTGAGACCACTTGATCGGCAATTCACTAATGGCGAACATGTCTGGTCGTTCCATCTAATTCTGCCAATATGCACAGAGAATATTTTAAAGCCTGTATCATTATGTAATGCCTACTTGTCTGTTAAAATTCTTACTTGAATGAGAAACGGGAAACTGTTGCAGGACAAGGGTGTGCAATCATAATATCATTAAGAGCATATGCAGGCAGAGCTTTAGAATTTACGGATACTGATACCCTTGACAACTCGGAAGGAACTATTTGACCCTCTAGAAAGCCATCTAGCACCTGCAATAAATGCCAAATATCAATAATTACATCAACAAGCTTCAATGTAGAAAAGAACAGTAAGCTTTATGCCTTATATATAATATTAAAGAACCAAGCTGCGAAATTCCAATGATAAAAAGTAATGCCGAAAACAGAAGTGAAATTCAGTAGACATGCTTTGCATAGGAAAATGGTAAAGCTTAAAATCAGCATAGGCATGTAGGTTATAGAACCTCTAGCTTTTTACTTAAACCGTCAAGTTTTAAGTAAAAAGCTTATTCTCCAACTTAAGCAAACATAAAACTTACTCCATTTCAGACATCAACTGACATGTAACACCCAGTAACAAATTTGTCAGTAGAGAATTATTTTCTTATGCAATATCTCCAAATAATGTTAATTTCCTTCTTTAACACTATATGTGTGTGTGTGTGTATATATCCTTACTTGCTCGAAATTTTTTGCTGTTGCTGCACATAAATAACCAGTGCTTCTAGTAGCATCAAACTCATTGCTGAACTTTTCAACCTACAAAAAAATAGAAGAAAAAAGAAAAAAAATGAATAACTGGCATCTTTGAATAAGATGTATGCAGTATAAATGATTGTCCATATCATTAAAAGAATTTTAAAATTTACATAAAGAACCAAATTGAATGATTGGCTAGAGAAATGAACTAACCTCTTCAGCTTGTGTAGGATCAGAATTTACTCCTAGAACTGGAATTGAGTCATCCAAGAAATGACTGGCCTGCAAAAGAGTGCCGTCACCACCAACTGTAACAACCAAATCAACATTATGAATTGGTTGTGATAAGTTGTTACGAAATATGGGTTTCCAGTCAATTGTCTTCTGCTGTAAAATTTTCTGACAAATGTTTATGGCCTCTTTGTGCACCTTGCACCTATTATCAATATAATGGAAAATCTGTGACCATACCAAGAGAAAATTTCAGTGCAACTAATAAATTAATTCTAGTGGGAGGATAGATACAGGGTGAAGTAAATGAAACAATGATCATAAGAAGTGTTCTAAAACCATAGGAGAATAGAATCTAAAAGAAATGTTTGCAACCTAACAAGGAACAACACGACACGATACAGGGGAGTGTATGCGCCACAATAATGCCAAGGTACACTGTACGCACAGTACATGTATAGTCATTATCTGGATGGAACATGAATATATTATGAAAATGTAAATTAATTTATTTATCATTACATTCTAATATCAAAGCAAAGTTTGAAAGCCTTCATGAGATCAGAAGCCCGTTATACTATATGAAAAGAGCTTTAGAAAGAGTTGGTACTCGCACACATAAGTTGAAGTCAAAAGATACTAAAAGAGAGAATGTTTCTACAAATTTGTTGGAGGCCCATCGGTTAAGCAGGCTAGGAAGCCAATAAAGGTAAACATGTTATATACGTGAGGCCTCAAAATTTGCTCTTCAAAACTAGTAATCACAATTACGTTTGGACTTGTATTTCCTACATTTTCTTCATCATCAATTTAGGTGAAAGCAAGTAATCTGATCATATGCTTACAGCTTTGGGTTCGCTAATTTTAACACAAAAGCTAGGCATTGAGTTGAAAAACACTCGATAGGCTACCAAAATTACTGGGAAACTAATACAAAATATTAAAAAGGAGACCTTGATAATTAATAGCCAACATTAATAAACAGCACAAGGCAGAAGAACCCACGTTATATTCCTAGAAACCCACTCTACAAATCTTTGTGGAACTGAAACAAGCAATAAACATACGATCCTGATTCCTTCTCATAAACATATTAGTAGCAACTAAAACATGGGAAAAAACACTCAAGGTTAGTTTTTTATCAAACAGAAAAATAGCATCTTAAACATGAACGCTATGGCTCAAAAGAAGCCAAAAACAGATAACGAAATGAATGCAAGCAACAAAATAAGGCAAACCCAACAGGGGAAAAATCGAAATAAATATAATATTCAACATTTCATCAAACACCAGGGATGCTAATGTAAACTAAACAAAAACAAATCAGATACGTTGACGGAGTTAACTGAAGGTTCAGTTCTTCATTTATAATATTACCCGCGGATTGGTGAAGCGAGAAACAGCGTTTGATTGAGTAACCTGGTAGACGTCAAATGGCTTCATGAGCAATAAAAGCTTTCTTCTCACCATTTTTTGTTTTCTCTGTCAAAGAAGAAAGCTTTGCTGTGTCGCCTGTTGGAAAAGTGGAAAATGGAAACAAGGCAGGCGTCTAAGGCTCGCGAGTTAGCCCAAGCCTGCATGCCCAACCATATACTTTGGCAGGCTTGAGAGCTGGACTTACGCAACAGATCAAATTAATTCCACCGCTCTCATAAAAATTAGGGTAAATTACACGGGTGACCACTCAACTATTGTCTATTTTCATTGACCATATGTACAATTTGACACCATTTTAACGTAATCCTCTCAAATATCATTTCTTAAATCATAGCCGTTCTTCCAAGTTCTCTGCAAAGAGAAGTGATGGGGAAAACCATTATCGTCTTTGTATTAGTAGCTTTAATCTCTTGTTTTTACTCAGAATTTGACACTGCCTACAAACACTTTGACAGCATCAAAATCCATCAAAGACCCTGAAGTTATAATCTCCAAGAGTGAAGTTTTTACGCTGGGATTCTTCGGCATTGCTAATTGTTCCGTTGACATTGTAAGTGAATTATCTATTTTGTTTTTCCTTTCTTCTCCTCCTCCTCCCTCGTTCTTTTCTTAATGAAAGAGATTGTTGAAGTAGATTCCAGCAGACATAGTTGTTAATACAATGTTGGGAATAATTAATGGCATGTTGAGACTATGTGCGAGCTGTATTTTGTTATTAATGATATATGGAAGTAGATTATTTTCTTCAGTCTTGTTTCCTAAAACCCACACGTTTTAAAATAAGATGTACAATACTATTGATAGTGGAAAGTGGCAACATTGCCGATATCCAAAGGGAAAAATAGTTTTATTACAGTGAAAGCAACTCTTTCTATTTTGGTTATTAAATTAACATTTTTAATTAAAAACATTAATGTTAAGAAAAACAACTTCTAAAATATATCTTAACTTTAACAAATAATTTTAGGGGTTTTTCTCTTTTTTTATTAATCTAAGTTTTTTCTCAATATTTTTGTGTCATCTTTCTTTTTCCCTTTATTTTTGTTTAGTTGACGACGACACCAACCTTAATATTGTTTGACGATCACCGATGATTATTATTTCTTTTTTTTTATATATATTATGTCCTCTATTTTCCTTTACTATTGAGGTTACTTTTTTAATTTTGAATAATAATATGTCCTTTTGACAAGTTTTTCTATGTTTTCATGGTACTTTTTTTCTCCACTTTTGATACGTTTTCCGTATACATTTATGTTTGTGTTGGTGTTCGCATAAAGATCTTTACGACATTTATTTTCTAATTGGTTTGTCAATGGTTACGTATAGTCAGAACCCTTATTTGGTAAAAGGTTGTTTGCTAATATAATCAGAACTGTGTAGCGAAATAGCCTGTTAGATAACGAACCATTCGACAGAGACAGAATTTATATGTAGATTACTCAAGAAACGATTTTGTTTTTCTTCATATATTTGGTTTTAATAATTTTATTTTATGTATGTGTTTTTTTATTATTATCTCCATTTTTCTCTAAATTTTGATGTATTATAATTCTAATTCATTATATTAATTTTATTAATGAAACCTAGTTGGCAATTAACAAAGCGGCAAATCCTTCATTCCGATCTTAAGCTACCATTCTCTCTTTTCTTCTTCCTTAATTTTTGTTTCACGTGATTAAAGTCTTTAACGCCAACTCAATCTCTTAACTAATTAAATATCTTTATATATAAACAATATTTAACTAATGTTAAGAAAGTCTTTCATATCAAACATATAATTATATATATAATTTAAAAGTTAAAATAGTTTTGTAATCTTTGGTGTTAAAATCTGCGATCTCTAAAAATAATAATTATCTCTTTAACCGTTGAGGTAATTTAATTCATATTAAACAAATGAATTATTAACATATTAATAATAAAAGATTATGCATAAAACTAAAAAGTCATGATATCTATAAATACACCCCGTCGCCTGGTTCCGTTGGCAAACAAGAACGATTAGGTAATCACATAGTAGTATAATTTGTATCCTAACCATGTTCAAGAGCGAAAGCACTACTTCATTGTCTATTGAAGACGATGAAAACAACCCAAGTTCTCTTCAAGCCGGATTCATCTATCCTATGCCGAAGAAAGATGGAATTGGAATTGAAAATTTTCTTAAAGCAAAGGTTGTTCTCATCACTGGTTCAACTGGATTCCTCGCAAAAGGTACATAATCATCTTTCTTTCGTTGATATAATCTAAGAGATTTGCTTGAGTTATATAACATTTGAAGTATTTGAATTGCAGTCCTTGTTGAGAAAATTCTGAGATCGATGCCATGTTGAAAATTCAATATTAGCCTATATGTTCACACCTAAATTAATTTGATGTCATTGCTTACATCAATTTAGTTTTGATGTAATTGCTTACATCAATTTAATTAGGTGAAAATTAAGTATTTTTCTCATGTTTTAATTTCAATGGTTTAGATTATTTAGTGTTTATTTTAATGAGTGGTTTAGATTGTTTCTTGTAACCTATAAATACCCTACTTGTATTTGAGTTTTATCATCCAACAATCAAAGCTTAATTATAAGCATTTGAAAGCTTTCTTAAGAGTTCTTCCCTTTAGTAATTTTGTGAGATTATTCTAAAGAGAGTTTTTTTTTGATCAATTAGAGTTTTTACTCTATTTTGATTCAACAATTGGTATCCGAGCCACGTTTTTAAAGATCTCTTGAAATTCTGAGTATGCTCTGTGGCTGCAGTTTTTAACTGATCTTACACATCAGAAAATATTTCTTGAGTTATTGTCGAGGTTATTACAAACCTTGTGGAACTTCTTTGTGTTTAGAGTAATTTAGTACTTTGCACGTTTGTTACTCAAGCTTGTTCGGTGTAGTCAAAGCCTTGCCGTTAAGATGGGTGATCTTCAAGTAGTTGGAGGAATCAAGAAGCTCAACAACAAAAACTACAACACGTGGGCAACATGTATGGAGTCATACTTACAAGGTCAAGACTTTGGGAGGTTGTCGGTGGTGGTGAAGTTACACAACTGGCGACAGAAGATGCCAATGGAATCTTGCGAAAGTGGAAAATTAAAGCAGGCAAAGCAATGTTTGCTTTAAAGACCACAATTGAAGAAGAAATGTTGGAGCACATTCGGGATGCTAAAACACCAAAGGAAGCATGGGACACTTTTGTTACACTCTTTTCAAAGAGGAACGATACAAAATTGCAACTTCTCAAGAATGAACTTCTATCAATGGTGCAACGCGACATGGCGGTTGCCCAATACTTTCACAAGGTGAAGTCGATATGCCGTGAAATTTCAGAATTAGATCCGACAGCTGCTATTGGGGAAGCCAGGATAAAAAGAATAATTGTCCATGGTTTGAGATCCGAATATCGAGGGTTTGTTGCCGCTGTACAGGGATGGCCGACACAACCATCGCTTGTTGAGTTCGAAAATTTGCTTGCAGGTCAAGAAGCCATGGCCAAGCAAATGGGAGGAGTCTCGCTGAAGGGTGAAGAGGAAGCGCTCTACACCAGCAAAAGCAGAGGCACTTTTCAGTGGTATACTGGCAATGGATCTAAAAAGGATGGTGACAAGGTGAAAAATTACCAAGGAAAGTGAGGCCCTCATTCAGGGGGAGCTTCCAAGAATCGCGGTAATAGTAGAAAGTTCGATGGCAAGTGTTACAATTGTGGGAAGATGGGCCACATGGCAAAAGACTGTTGGACCAAGAAAAAGCCTGTTGAAAGTAATACTGCTACTTCTTGTTCGAAGGAGAATAGTGAAGATGGTTGGGATGTTGAAGCGTTATTTGCTACGGAGGAAGAAGAATTAGCTCTCACGGTAACAACACCAGAACGGATTGACTACAAGAATGATTGGATCGTAGATTCTGGCTGCTCAAATCATATGACGGGTGACAAACAGAAGTTACAAAACTTGTCTGAGTACAATGGAGGTCGTGTGGTGGTGACAGCTGACAACTCAAGGTTACCGATAACTCACATCGGTAAGACAATAGTTACTCCTCGATATAATACTAACCAGGTGCAACTCCAAGATGTTTACCATGTCCCAGGAATGAAGAAATTTTTTTTATCTGTGGCTCAACTAACATCATCAGGCCATTATGTCTTATTTGGTCCCCAAGACGTGAAGGTTTATCGTGACGTCAAAATCTCAGAAACACCAACAATGGAGGGACGACGTTTGGAATCAATTTACGTGATGTCAGCAGAGTCTGCATATGTAGACAGGACAAGGAAAAATGAGACATCAGATCTATGGCACATGCGGTTAGGTCACGTTAGCTATTCCAAGCTAAGTGTGATGGTGAAAAAGTCGATGCTTAAGGGGCTTCCTCAACTAGACGTGAGAACAGACACGGTCTGTGCGGGATGCCAGTATGGTAAAGCACACCAATTACCATATGACGAGTCAAAGTTTAAAGCAAAAGAACCTTTGGAGTTGGTTCACTCTAATGTGTTCGGACCGGTTAAGCAACAGTCAATTAGCGGTATGCGGTACATGGTAACATTCATTGATGACTTCTCCAGGTATGTGTGGGTTTTCTTTATGAAAGAAAAATCTGATACTTTCTCAAAGTTTAAAGAGTTCAGAGACTCAGCTGAAGGAGAAGTGGGAAAGAAGATATGCTGCTTGCGCACAGACAACGGAGGAGAATACAGATCAAACGAGTTCTCTCAATACCTAAGGGAATGTCGAATACGTCATCAGTACATTTGTGCCAACACGCCACAACAGAATGGTGTAGCGGAAAGAAAAAACCGGCATCTTGCAGAAATTTGTCGAAGTATGCTACATGCAAAGAACGTATCTGGAAGGTTTTGGGCTGAAGCAATGAGGACTGCAACCTTTGTGATCAACAGACTTCCTCAACCAAGGTTAGGATTTGTTTCACCCTTTGAGAAACTATGGAACATAAAACCTACAGTTAGCTACTTTCGAGTATTTGGCTGTGTATGTTATGTGTTTGTTCCTGATCATTTACGGAGTAAATTTGACAAGAAAGCTGTTAGATGTATCTTTATGGGATATGACAGCCAGAGAAAGGGGTGGAAATGTTGTGATCCAATTAGTGGAAGATGCTACACGTCACGAAATGTGGTATTTGATGAAGCATCTTCTTGGTGGTCCTCAGAGAAGGAGGTGTTGCCAGATTCGAGAGAATTTGGAGACAAACTACAACAAAAGATGGGGGACCATGATGTTCAACTTCAAACAAGTTCAGATGAATCAGAAGATCCAAATGGCGATGATGTCGAACAAAGAGTGACTCAGAATCCGTGGCAAACTGGCGTGTATCAACAACCAAACGAAGAAGGTGGGCCTAGTGAAACAGAAGAATCAATTCCACAATCTCAACTCCGAAGGTCAACAAGAATACGAAGGCCAAATCCCAAATATGCCAATGCAGCCATAATTGAAGAAGCAACGGAGCTTGAGACGTTCGAAGAAGCATCGAAGAGTTCTGAGTGGATGACAGCTATGAAAGAAGAGATCGATGCACTTCAGCAAAATCAAACTTGGGATATTGTACCAAGGATAAAAGATGTGAAACCCATATCTTGCAAATGGGTTTACAAGATAAAGCGCCGTCCAGATGGGTCAATCGAGAGGTACAAAGCGCGATTGGTAGCTCGTGGTTTCTCTCAACAATATGGATTAGACTATGATGAAACATTTAGTCCAGTGGCGAAACTTACAACCGTACGAGTCTTACTTGCACTTGCAGCCAACAAAGACTGGAACTTGTGGCAGATGGATGTAAAGAATGCTTTTCTTCATGGAGAGCTAGATCGAGAGATCTACATGACCCAACCAATGGGTTTTCAAAGTCAAGATCATCCTGAATATGTGTGTAAGCTGCGAAAAGCACTCTACGGATTGAAACAAGCACCTAGGGCGTGGTATGGTAAGATTGCTGAATTTCTAACGAAAAGTGGTTATTCAGTAACACCTGCAGATTCTAGCTTGTTTGTCAAAGCCAATGAAGGTAAGCTAGCTATCGTGCTAGTGTACGTGGATGACTTAATCATAACCGGTGATGATGAGGCAGAAATTCTTCAGACGAAGGAGAATTTATCAGTTCGTTTCCAGATGAAGGAACTTGGACAACTTAAGCACTTCCTTGGTCTAGAGGTTGATCGTACACACGAAGGAATATTTCTATGTCAACAGAAATATGCTAAAGATTTGCTGAAGAGGTTTGGAATGCTCGAATGCAAGTCAACTTCAACGCCAATGGAACCAAATATCAAAATGTGTGCACATGAAGGAAAAGATTTGGAAGATGCAACAATGTATCGACAATTGGTAGGTAGTCTGATCTACTTAACATTGACCCGACCTGACATTTCTTATGCAGTTGGTGTGATGAGTCGGTATATGTAAAATCCAAAGAAGCCTCATTTGGAAGCAGTTCGACGAATACTGAGATATGTGAAGAATACAATTGACTATGGTCTTTTGTACAAGAAAGGTGAAGATTGCAAGTTAGTTGGTTATTGTGATGCTGATTATGCAAGAGATCATGACACCAGGAGATCAACAACTGGGTATGTGTTTAAGCTTGGCTCCGGAACAATTTCTTGGTGTAGCAAAAGACAACCAACGGTATCATTGTCAACCACTGAAGCTGAGTATCGAGCAGCAGCAATGGCAGCTCAAGAGAGTACATGGTTGATACAGTTGATGAATAATCTACATCAACCAGTAGATTATGCAATTCCGTTGTATTGTGACAACCAATCGGCAATTCGGCTGGCGGAGAATCCTGTCTTTCATGCAAGAACTAAACATGTGGAAGTACATTACCACTTTGTTAGGGAAAAAGTTTTGCAAGAAGAGATTGAGATGAGGCAAATCAATACAGATGAGCAAATTGCTGACTTGTTTACAAAAAGCTTGAGTGTTGGAAAGTTTGAACATTTCCGTCGTCAGCATGGCGTGATTCAAAGAATGGAGGCTAACATTGAGGGGGAGTGTTGAAAATTCAATATTAGCCTATATGTTCACACCTAAATTAATTTGATGTCATTGCTTACATCAATTTAGTTTTGATGTCATTGCTTACATCAATTTAATTAGGTGAAAATTAAGTATTTTTCTCATGTTTTAATTTCAATGGTTTAGATTATTTAATGTTTATTTTAATAAGTGGTTTAGATTGTTTCTTGTAACCTATAAATACCCTACTTGTATTTGAGTTTTATCATCCAACAATCAAAGCTTAATTATAAGCATTTGAAAGCTTTCTTAAGAGTTCTTCCCTTTAGCAATTTTGTGAGATTATTCTAAAGAGAGTTTTTTTTTTATCAATTAGAGTTTTTACTCTATTTTGATTCAACATGCCAGATGTGAGAAAGATTTATCTCTTGATCAGAGGAGAAGATATGGAAGATGCACGGCAAAGGGTGAAGAATGAAGTATGTTAATTATTCAACAATAGCTTTATAGAGCTTTTCCATTTTGATAATCAATCATTTAATCTGGGTTTTTTCAATTATATTGTGGATATAAAGCTCTTCAAGTGTCTAAAACAAAAACATAGGGAAACTACGAAGCATTCATGTGGAGTACATTGGTTCCTGTGGTTGGAGATGTTGGCCATTCTACTCTTGGGATACAAGAAGATTTGGCTGTTAAAATTTCCAAAGATGTCCAAATCATTGTCAACATCGCAGGTGACACAGCATTTTATCTAAGGTTAGATCATAAAACGGACATGAAAGATTCGATATATATTTTTTATAATAACAAAGTAAAATGATTCTGTAGATACGATGTTGCTCTTCAAGTAAATGCAATGAGACCTTGCAATCTATTGAACTTTGCCAGCATGTGCAAAAATATCGAGCTTTTCGTGCATACATCAACAAGTATGAAGAAAAGAATATTTATTTTCTTATGCTTTTGAGTTTTGACATCTAAATGTGGAACGTTTTTCGTTATGGGATATTGCAGTCTCGGTTAAAAGATATACAAGAGAAGGAAGATTCGTGGAGGAAAAGCAATGTTTAAGTCCGAGAGATAGCATGGGAAGACAAGTTCGTGTTATGTCTGAAACAACCGTGTTGGAGAATGAGATGAAGTTGGCTTCGGATTACAAAAAACTTCTCAAACCCAACGATGTGGCTCAAAAAATGAAATAATTGGGGTTGATGAGGTGATGATGCCTGTCTTCTTTAATATAAAATAATTTGAAAAACTAATTATAAATATTGAAAAACAGGGAAAAAGAATATGGGTGGTACAATACCTATGTGTTTACAAAGGCTCTGGGAGAGATGTTGATTGACAGTATGAGAAGCAAAATATCAGTGCCCATAGTAATAGTAAGACCCAGTGGAGTCTTAAGCACTTACAAGGAGCCTTATCCTGTTTGGATTGAAGAAGTAAGTGTTGTGGAATTCGGGTTAATTTCCACCAATAATAACAAATTCACCTTGAAAACTATTATCTAGGTGACTAGTGTGAAAACGATTGTACTAAAAATCACGTCAAGATAGATTCACAGGAAAGATGAGAGGTCACAATGGTCCCTCTTAAAACCCACTTTCCTTAGACAGAACTATCAAGACAAGTAATTTTAATAGGACAATAATTAACAACAACTATACCCGACAATAGCTATTAAATAGAGATAAAGAAAACACCAAAATTTAACGAGGTTAGGCCAAAATTATGCCTACCTCCTCAAACACTACTAAAATAATATTTCACTAATAGAGGAAATATTACAAAGAGAAAGAAAGAGTACAAATAACCTTTAATATAGAAGAATGCTTATATTTGTGGGATGCTTAACTAAGGAGGAGGAGGGCTCTATTTATAACAAAAGAATTTCCCCTCCTCCTTATACACAACTAATATGGGACTTTGCCAAAAAACCAACAAATCTCCACCTTGGCAAATTCCACTCACATCTCTCAAAAATCCAATCTTCAGTAGTGTTTGCAAATTCATCTTTCAATTTGTAACAATATTGACCAAGTCTAAACAATGTTTAAACTTGACCGCAGTTACTACTTTTGTCAACATATCAGCAGGATTCTCAGTGGTCCGAATCTTCTGGATTATGACTCCACCTTATTCTAGAATCTCTCGTACAAAGTGATATCGAACATCGATTTGCTTCGTCCTTGCATGATAAACCTGGTTCTTTGCTAAATGAATAGCACTCTGACTGACACAGTGCGCTCTGATGTGCTTCTGTTCCATTCCCAATTCACCAAGCAACCCTTGAAGTCAAATTGCCTCCTTCACAGCCTCTGTAACTGCCATATACTCTGCCTATATAGTAGACAAAGCCACTGTTGACTGTAAGGTGGACTTCCAACTGATTGGTGCCTTTGCAAATGTAAACACATAACCTGTAATTGATCAACGCTTGTCCAAATCACCTGCATAGTCTAAATCACAATACCCAACTACACACTGACCATCTTGTTTGTCCTGCTGAAAGACCAAACCAACATCTACGGTGTTCAGAATATACCGCAGAATCCATTTCACAGCTTGCCAATGCTCCTTTCCAGGATCATGCATATACCTGCTCACAACCCCAACTGCCTGTGAAATATCGGGTCTCGTACACACCATTGCATACATCAAGCTACCAACAACACTTGCATACGGAACCTTTGACATGTATTCCCGTTCTGCATCATCCTTAGGTGACATGGATGCACTGAGCATGAAATAAGGAGCAAGAGGTGTACTAACTGGTTTTGACTTCTCATTCATGCCAAAACGTTTTAGTACCTCCCTCAGATATTCTTTTTGAGACAAACAAAGCCTCCTCAATTTCTTATCCCTTGATATCTTCATGCCTAGAATCTTCTTCGCTTCACCAAGATCCTTCATCTCAAACTCCCTGTTCAATTGAGTCTTTAGTTTCTCAATTTCTGTCTGACTCCTGGAAGCTATCAGCATATCATCAACATAAAAAAGAAGATATATATAGGATCCGTCTTGTAGCTTGCGTAAATACACACAATGATCATATTTGCTTCTTGTGTACTTCTGCCCTATCATAAACTTGTCAAATCGCTTGTACCACTGCCTTGGAGATTGCTTCAAACTGTACAACGATTTTTCTAATTTGCACACCATCTTTTCTTTTTCAGTAACTTTGAATCCATCTGGCTGAGTCATGTAGATTTCCTCATCCAAGTCTCCATGTAAAAATACAGTTTTTACATCCATCTGAACTAGTTCCAAATCCAACTGCGCTACTAAGGCCAATAAAATTCTGATGGGGGAATGTTTTACAACTGGTGAAAATACTTCATTATAATCAACTCCCTCCGTTTGAGCGTAGCCTTTAGCCACCAATCTTGCTTTGTGGCGGATGTTATTCTTGTCAGGAAATCCATCTTTCTTTGCATATACCCACTTGCACCCAATTGCCTTCTTTCCCTTCGGAAGACTAGCTAGTTTCCACGTCTGATTCTTTTGAAGGGATTGCATTTCTTCATTCATGGCGATCCTCCACTTTTTATGTTCTGAACTTTGGAATGCTTCATTAAAAGTAGCAGGAACGTCATCAATTGCAATTGGTGATGCAAAAGAGACCATATCAGCATAACGAGCAGGTTATCTAATGGTCCTCTTTTCATTTTTGAGTGCAATTGATTCATGTTGCTGTGGAGGTTCTTGGGTCTGAACCTCTTCTTCATTTGACTCTTCTTCTACCATAGGAGAGTCAACATAAGTTTATTTACTGACTGGGTCAATTCTGCTTCCTTCAAACTCTACCTGTTTGAGAGTTCCATCTGTCTGCTCCAATTTTTCTGAAGTCACCTTTCTCAACATGGTAGATTCATCAAAGGTAACATCCCTGCTGAAGATTATTTTCTTTGTTTCTGGACACCAAAGATGATAACCTTTCACACCAGAGGTGATCCCCATAAAGATTGCCTTCTTTTCTCTTGGATCCAGCTTTGACTCCTTAACATGATAATATGCAATGGAACCAAACACATGTAAGGAATCATTATCTGTAGCAGGTTCTCCAAACCATTTCTCTAATGGTGTTTTACCACCAATAGCAGTCGATGGTAAGTGGTTGACAAGGTGACAAGCATAGACCAAAGCCTCAGCCCAAAATTCTTTGCCTAACCCAATATTAGACAACATACACCGAACCTTCTCCACTAATGTATGGTTCATACGCTCTGCCACCTCATTCTGTTGTGATGTAGATCTGACAGTGAAGTGTCTGACAATACCTTCTTCTTCACAGACTTTCAGAAATGGATCATTTTTGTACTCTCCACCATTGTATGTACGAAGACGTTTGATTTTTCTGCTTGTTTGAGTCTCCACCATCTTTTTCCATTTAAGGAAAAATCCTAGCACCTCATCCTTTGTCTTCATTGTATACACCCAAACTCTCCGGGAAAAATCATCAACAAATGTTACATAATAGTGTGTTCCTCCCAATGAAGTTGTCTTGGAAGGCCCCCATACATCTGAATGAACATAATCCAAAATACCTTTGGTATCATAGATTGCTTTTCCAAATTTCACCCTCGTCTTCTTCCCTTAGATGCAATGCTCACAAAAAGCTAATTTGCAAGCCCGAGCACCCTTCAATAATCATTGATCTATCAGCAATTTCAAGGATTTTTCATCAACATGCCCCAAGCGCATATGCCATAACCTGGTTGCTTCTGACTCCTGTTCATCAGTAGAAGATGCCACTGCTGCTGTCCCAACAATTATACTACCCAGAAAGTAATACACATTGTTTCTTTTCCGGATTCCCTTCATTATCACCAGTGCACCAGAGATAATCCTTATAATCCTATCTTTTGCCCTCACTTCTAAACCTTTTGACTCTAAAGTTCCCACAGAGATGAGATTTCTCATTAAATCTGGTACATAATGAACACCTGTTAAGGTTCTGATTGATCCATCCTGATTCCTCAAGCGAATTAAACCAATCCCAAGTGTGTCAAGGGGGAATTATTTGCTGTGTAGATAATTCCACCTTTTAGTTCTTTAAAATCAAAGAACCATTCTCTATTGAGGGTCATATGGTGGCTACAAGCTGAATCTAACAGCCATGAACTGGAACAGCTGGTTGATGGCGTAGCAGCGAATGCGAAATCTGAATCTGTATCATCATACTCGACCACATTTGATTCTGAGACAGCCTTTCCCCTTTCAGGTTTGCCTTTATTCTTTAGCATGTGACATTCTTTCTTCCAGTGCCATTTTTCTCGACAAAAGACACATTCATCTTTGCTTAATATGGACTTTGACTTCGATCTCCCTCTCCTTCCTTTATTCTGACTCTTCAAACGGCCTCTAACAACAAGAGCTTCTGCTTCGACACTTGTGTTTTCTTGTTTGTCTTTCTTTCTCAATTCATAACTATACAAGGCAGCAGTTACTTCACTGAGAGACACAACAACCTTCCCATGAAGTAGAGTAGTTTCAAGATACTCAAACTCATTAGGAAGTGATCCCATCAATATCAGAGCTAGATCTTCGTCTTCAAAAGTCATATCCATATTCATCAGATCAGTCACCAGCTGATTAAAGTTAGTAATTTGATCATTCATAGTGGTATCTGATACATAGTTGAAGCGGAACAATCTCTTTTTCATATAGAGCTTGTTCTGACCGTTTTTCTTCAAAAATTTCTCCTCCAGTGCCTTCCACAATTTACTTGCAGAAGTTTCCTTAGAAAATGCATATTTCTGCTCTCTAGAAAGGCACAATCGAATAGTACCACATGTCAATCTATTGATCCTCTTCCATTCTTTCTCCTCAACATCATCTGGTTTTTTTGCTTCAATAGCAATGTCTATACCCTGTTGAAATAGGGCATCTAGAACCTCACTTTGCCATATGCCGAAATGAACGGTGCCATAAAAAATCTCCACTGCAAATCTAACATTTGTCACAGCATTTCTTGCAGATGTTTTTGTGTCGTCTGTCATTTCTGCTACTAATTCTATTTAATAGCTGTCAATGCGGAATGTCAATTACCCCAAGGAAATTTTTTCTGATGTGAAAGATCAGCCTAAATCGCAACCACAGAGCATACTAAAATAAACCAAGAGCTCTGATACCAATTGTTGTGGAATTCGGGTTAATTTCCATCAATAATAACAAATTCACCTTGAAAACTATTATATAGGTGACTAGTGTGAAAACGATTGTACTAAAAATCACCCCAAGGTAAATTCCCAGGAAAGAAGAGGGGTCACAATAGTCCTTCTTAAAACCTACTTTCCTTAAATAAAACTACCAAGAAAGTAATTTTAATAGGACAATAATTAACAATTATACCCGACAATAGCTATTAAATAGAGATAAAGAGAACACAAAAATTTAACGAGGTTAGGCCAAAATTATGCCCACCTCCTCGAACACTATTAAAATAATATTTCACTAATTGAGAAAATATTACAAAGAGAAAGAAATATTACAAATAACCTTTAATATATAAGAAGACTTATATTTGTAGGGTGCTTAACTAAGGAGGAGGAGGGCTCTATTTATAACAAAAGAATTTCCCCTTCTCCTTATACACAACCAATGTGAGACTTTGTCAAAAAACCAACAGTAAGTACTTTAATTTAATTAACACTTATTGTATATTAATTATTACTGTTTATATTAACCATCTTTTACTTTTCTTTCAAGGATGATCGATCATGTAATTCTATACTATGGTAAAGGTATGCTAACTGGTTTTTCGCTAAACACCGACTGTTGCAGTCACTTTGTAAGTAATTTCTTCTTTTTTTCCTTTCTTCTTCTCTTCCTTGCTTATTATTTTCTTAATGAAAGAGTTTGTTGAAGTAGATTCCATCACACATAGTTGTTAATACAATGTTGGGAATAATGGCAAAGCATGTTTCAATGTCCAAGAAATCAGAGCTGAGTTTCTACCACCTTTGTTCTTCTTCTTCAAACCCTATAGTTTTTGAGGATCTGCTTAACTTAATCTACCAACACTTCAAATCCAATCATTTCATCCATTCCAATGGTCAACCAATCCGAATTTCAGAAACGAAATTCTTTAACTTACTATAACGTTTCTTAAATCATATGTGGAGATCATCAGAAGCCGCTGTTGCTGCCCCTTTGCCAAGTCAATTTTCGTCCACGAAGCTGATCGAATCTATGAATTTTAAGGAACATGTTGATCAAGTGGCCACCATTTACTCGGCCTACACCTTTGATACTTACTGGTAAAACCCCAAATTTGTTGATAAAATATAAATATTTTAACTGTATTGCCCAAGGAATTAAGTTCATTTCCACAAAATGATTGGTAGGATGGACGAAGGTAAAACCCGAGATTTGATTGAAAGCATGTCTGAAGAAGAGAAGAATAAATTTCAATGTGACGTGAAAAGCATAGACTGGATGGATTACATTGTGAATGTTCATATTCATGGCTTAAAGAGACATGTCTTGATAGGGAAGCTCTCATCTAAAATGTAATTCGAGATTCGTCTAATCTCTATTATATTTACTATGTGACACACTTCATAGAATATATTTATAAGTTTCAGTTAAATAAATATAAATTAATTTTTTATATATTCACTGAAAAAATAATGAATTAATCTCAGTCTTTGATTTCCCCCATCTAACAATCTTTTTTTATTAAGCTAAAGGTGATTATAAAGTAATATATGTTCTAAGTACTCTCAACCATTTTGACAATGAACGCTCTATCACCCATGCAGTCGTGATGCTCGAACTCATAACATCTAAAAACAACAACGATTTGTTTAACCACTGTAATAAGTTAATTTGTGCACCCCATCCAACAATCCTAAAAATTAAAATAAATCATTATAATCTTTTAATTATCCTAGTCTCAAAAAATATGAAATATGTGTGAACATGGTGATCCACGCGAGTTGAATATTTTTTTCGTTGAAAAATTAACCATTATTGCCGTACGTAAGAAGTCAAATTCTGACTTTCAAACCCCAACGTAAAAGGGGATTACCTTAAAATTCAAACGATAAAATAAAAACCTTGAAGTAGACATTTGCAGCTGCCATGAAGCATCATTCTATCATATCAAAATCGCTTTATTATTTAAGAGGTCCTTATACTATGCGTCTTCTTTTACAAATTAAGTTCTTTTATAGTTGTCTACTTTTCGAAATTATATATCTTAGTCTTCAAGTCAAATTTTTATGTTGATTCCATCAAATAATGCTAATAAAAAAGGATTGTTTAAGAATTAAACCTGATAACAATGTTAATTAAAAACTTATAATAGTGATATTCTTTCGTATATTAAGCGTTGAAGCTTATATTTTAGTTATATTCTTTCGTTTATTAAGCGTTGAAGCTTATGGAGTTCTTTACTCTCCATGAGTGTTGTACATCCTTCAAATTTTCTCCGACTCGTTGTCATCCTTTAGAATACCACATTTTGATTGCCATTGATAAGTCTACATGATCGATCATAATTTAGTCTATTTTCAGATAATCATATTTATTCATTATGTCAATCTACGAGTAGTCATCATCATAACTTTAGACATGACACTAACACTAAGGTCATATAAAACCCCTCAGCCTAAATTAGGAGGGGATTGAACTTCTTCCTCTACCACTCTCTTTACCTAGAGATGGATAACATCATTTATTTTCTTTAACTGATCATCGATTGTATCCTTATTGATTACAACTCTTTGTGTAAATCAAAAGAGTTGAATCATCTTCAATCGACACAACACACATTGTTACTATCAACAAATAGATAACGAGAGAAGGTGAACTTACAGTAGAATGACTAAATCCATCAAGAAGCCATAGTACAGGGACCTTATGTACAATTTGACATCATTTTAATTTAATCCTCGCAAATATCATTTCTTAAATCATAGCGTTTCTTCCAAGTTATCTGCAAAGAGAAGTGATGGGGAAAACCATTGTAGTCTTTGTGTTAGTAGCTTTAATCTCTTGCTTTTACTCAGAATTTGGCACTGCTACAGACACTTTGACAGCATCAAAATCCATCAAAGACCCTGAAGTTATAATCTCCAAGAGTGAAGTTTTCAGGCTGGGATTCTTCAGCTTTGCTAATTCAAGCAATCGTTATGTAGGGATATTGTACAATCAAATCCCGGTACAAACTGTTGTATGGGTAGCAAACAAAAACAAGCCCCTAAAAGATTTTTCTGGGATTCTCGGGATATCAGACGATGGAAATCTCGTTGTTTTGAATGGAAAATCAGAGATTATTTGGTCATCAAATGTTACCGGTTTAGTCCCTAATACAACTGCCCAGCTTTTAGATAGTGGAAACCTTGTCCTCAACAATGGCGATGACAATGGAGCAAGCTTGTGGGAGAGTTTTCAACACCCTTCAAATGTCTTCATTGAAACCATGAAGATCAGCACCGATGTAAAAAAGGGTAAGAAAGTGCAGATGAGATCATGGAAAGGCCCTGACGATCCATCTGATGGTAACTTTTCTCTTGGTCTTGAACCTTTCAATATTCCAGAGAGCGTCGTTTGGAACAACAACCAGCTCTACTTTAGGACCGGCCCATGGAATGGTCATATCTTTATTGGCTTAATACGTATGGATAGTGTTTATCTCGATGGGTTTTATATTGTTGCAGATGGTGAAGAGCAAACGTATTATTACACTTTTGATTTAGCTAATGATTCTATGGTGAAGTACTATGAACTCGACCCAGAAGGGAGATTAATCGAACGCTATTGGGATGATGGCAACGGGGAGTGGGTAAACGGATACCCTATTCTTTTTAACGACTGTGATATTTATGGGAAATGCGGTGCGTTTGGGGTCTGTGACTCAACGAAACAACCCATTTGCAACTGTTTGAAGGGGTTTGAGCCTAAGAATGTTGAGGAATGGCGTCGAGGGAATTGGAGTAGTGGGTGCGTTAGGACTACCCATTTGCAGTGCCATAGAGACGATAACAATGGCGGTGAAGCGGGACAAAATGATGGGTTTTTGAAGATGGAAATGATGAAAGTGCCGGCATTTCCCAACCGGTCATCGATAGTCTACGGCGGGTGCGAAGATCGGTGCATGAAGGACTGTTCGTGTGTGGCTTATGCGTATGATGATGGCATCGGTTGCATGTATTGGAGTGGAGATTTGATTGATGTGCAGAAATTTCCATTTCGGGGAGTGGATCTTTACATTCGTCTACCATTGTCGGAGCTTGGTAAGGATGTGTTAATGTCCACCACGTGTTTTTTTTTCTTTTTTTTTTGATAGAAAATTAGGCTTCAATAAAAAAAACCCTTCATACCTTCCATGTTGAAACAGTAATATGAAGGATATTGGAATGAAGAAAAGAGTGCCTATGAATTTTATTAATCATAACAATAATACACAACTAGTACCAAACAACATACTGTTACAACATAACACTGATTACATAAGAGTGAAAACAAACATCCTACTGTAAAACAAATATTTCCTACACCTTAACACCTCAAACACAACCTAATAATCAACCAATACCATCTTTAGCTAACTTATCCGCTTCCCAATTAGCAGTTCTCAGGATATGCCTTGATATCTCGTCCTTCCATACGAGAAGCTAAATCCTTCACCAAGAACTGAAACATAGGAGTGCAAATCCGGATTTTTAATCCAATTCAATGTTGTACTAGAATCCGATTCTAGAATAACCCTTTGATTTAGGACATATTCATATTCTTCAAGAATAATCAGCCCTCTCTTAATCGCCAATAGTTCTGCCAGTATCGGAGGACCACGTGTTTGTTAAATTGCGTTAATGATCTGCTTATTAAATTCATCGCACAAAAAGTCAGTTAATTGACTTAATTAATCGAATCGATTAATATTGAATCGATTCAGTTAAATCAATCAATACATACGTTAGTCTATCGATTTGCAGGTAAAGATAAAGGCAAAAGTAGGGTCATTGTTCTTACAACACCAATTGTGGGCATAATCATCATTGCAATTTCTGCACTCTTCTTATGGTGTTGGATGGCTAAAAACGGTGAGAAGTTCGAACTCCACTCTCTACATTCATTGCTTGAAATAGAATCATTCGAGCTCGAATTGCTTATATTCAATTCAATAATACTCTAATCATACTCGAATAACTCGATGTTCTTCCCCGTAAAAGGATAAATAAATCGAATCTCGATTTACAGTTATTGTGACAATATAGGTAACTTTGAATTCTTTGCCTCTCTGAACTCTAAATCCAGGAAGGAGACAAAAGCGAAAACATCAATTCAACAAAGAAAATGCAATCGAAGTTAAGCTCCAGCAGGAGTTACCACTATTCAAATTCGAAGAACTCGCCGCCGCAACCGACAACTTCCACCACAAGAAGAAGCTGGGCCAGGGCGGTTTCGGTCCAGTTTACAGGGTAATAACAATGAGCAGATCAATCGTCACTCGTCAGTCAAACGACATTTATATTTTCTAGCAAGATTTATGAGGTGATTTTTGGAGTGTGCAGGGAACAGTGGAGGATGGAAGGGAAATAGCGGTGAAGAGATTGTCGAAATCTTCGGGGCAAGGGTTGGAAGAGTTCATGAACGAAGTGGTGGTGATTTCTAAGCTCCAACATCGGAATCTGGTTAGATTGCTTGGGTGCTGTGTTGAAGGAGAAGAGAAGATGCTCGTGTACGAATTCATGCCCAACACAAGTTTGGATGCTCTTCTCTTTGGTTAGTAATTTATGCTCTAAAACTTATACATTCTATCAATTTTAGTCCTCAAAATTTAAATTTATATATTTTATTAATTTAATTTTTATTTGACACAATTTAATATTTGTTATTTTCCTAATTTTTTTGTTCTTCTCACATAAATGATATCCTATTTTATTAGTAGAATAACAATTTAACATTAGCTTCTTGTTGTTTTATGTATAATCTTTATAATAGAATATAGTTATCCAATTATTGCTTCGATCTGATTGACCTGTTAGGTTTGATAGTATCGCAACAAAGAATTAAATTGATGGAATTTTAAAAATATAAATAGTTGTACTATCTAATAAAATATACAAGTTTTGAGACTAAAATTATTACTATACCATACCGTATTTGACGCTTGTTTTAATTCTAACAGCTAGTGGTCTGTTTATAACAATATTTTAATTGAGTGATTAAATTGTAATTTCTTTAAAAAAAATCAGTTTGTAACTGAATTAATAGTTGAGTGACTCGTGGTGTAATTTACCCTTCTATTTATCATCTTCATTTGTACAATTTAAAGCCATGATTAAAGGAATTAGTTGTATAATCAATGATGTAGATGCAGTTAAACAAAAAGTCTTGGATTGGGGAAAACGGTTCAGCATAATTGAAGGAATCAGTCGAGGGCTGCTTTATCTTCACAGAGATTCGAGACTGAGGATTATACACAGAGATCTAAAAGCAAGTAATGTTTTACTTGACCAAGACCTAATTCCTAAGATTTCAGATTTTGGGATGGCCAGGATTTTCGGAGGCAATCAGAATCAAGCTAACACCAGAAGGGTTGTTGGAACTTAGTAAGTTTCAATTTTCTCCTTCAAATTTTAAAATATCAATATCGTATTAATCCGATCTTTTCGTTTAACAATGCAGCTCATGTATCTCAATCTTGATGTGGACATGAGCTGCATTGTTAATGTGTGTACTGTCTGCATGTTAGATCTAAATTGTTCATATGATAAGTACACGTACTTAAGATTTGATTCATTGTTTTAAAAGACTTCGAATATGAATTGTTATTTAACGACTGAATTAATTACTACACTGACGGAAGGACCTGATTGATATCACGATGTTTAAAAGAATTCATGTTTATATCCTAATTGTGGCCGATCTTTTGTTGTTTTTATGTTGAAATGCAGTGGTTATATGTCTCCTGAGTATGCAATGCAAGGGCAATTTTCGGAGAAATCAGATGTATTCAGCTTTGGGGTTCTATTACTAGAGATTGTTAGTGGAAAAAAGAACACAAGCTTTTACAACAACGAGCGTCATCTTAGCCTCTTGGGATATGTAAGTCTATAACATGATTAGAAATGTTGGTGGATTGAAATAGGGGTGCAAAACATCGAATTTGCAAGTTATTCGAGTTGGGTTCAAGAAGAGATGAACTTTTCAGGCTTTGATAGCGAAAACTTCATTAAATTAAACTGAAGCTTTGAGTTTTTCATTCTTTGCAGGCATGGAAATTGTGGAGGGAAAACAACATTTGGGGTTTAGTAGACAAGGTGGTTTCGGGTTCAGAGTCGGGTTTAGAGTACGAGAAAGAAATAAGGAGATGCATACATGTTGGATTGCTATGCGTTCAAGAATTTGCTAAAGATAGACCCAATATGTCAACTGTTGTTTTAATGCTTAACAGTGAGATTTTAGATCTCAACATTCCAAAACAACCTGCATTCACTCAAACACCAACACCAACAACTAGCCAAGATGTTGAAGATAGGTTTTCACTTAATAACGTTACTCTTACGGAGTTTAATGGCCGTTAAAGATGTAAATTAACCATTTTTTGGCTGTAAAAATAAATGAAAATTCAATGTTATATCTTGATATATTCTTATTATTTTACTTTATTTTGATCATAAACTTAATGCTTAAATCGAGTAGCTCAAAAGCTGATTTCTTTTTTTTCCGGTAAATGCCCGCAAGCTGAATCAAATTTTAAACATTTGTATACCTATTATACAAAATTTGGAAACATGTTAAAAAAAGTATTCAAAAATGATTTTGGATCAACACCTTAGCTACAAAGAACGAAAGCATTTGGATCAACGCCAATATCAAAATGCTGCACTGATATATTTAACATAAACAGTCTTCTCTTCGACAAAATGATGGGAAATTAGAAAAAAAGGATTAAAAACAATAAATACAAAAGATCAAATCAAAAGCTTCGACATTCCCGTTATTAGGGCTACAATTGCCAATAACCGGTGTGTCTGCTGGCATTGCACAGCAACAACTATGACAAGGGAGACCAAGACAGAATCCGTCTGACCTCGTCTGGAAATAATAGCCGGAACACAGGTTATCTATTCCAAACCCTGTACATGCTAACCAACTAACATCTCCATACCAGAAATTTCACAACAGAGCATCAAAATAAGCTCCAATATATATGGTGTGGACCCAAGGAAAGGGAAAACGTCCTAGCAAGTTTCTATCATAATACACACAAGGGTTGTGCTGACTGGCATTTCCCTTCAGGAATGATTTCAGTTCCAAGTGGCTGCTGACCAAGCCAGTAAGGAAATTCCTCCCCATGTGTCCATTCAGCAGCAGATGAACCTTCAACAACATAAGAAAATGTCAATATTGTCATGGTATTATCTTGCATGTATGCCTGCTGGTCTGTGTAGTTGGTCGCTTCACTATGATGTAGGGTCTTACTGCCTAGCTATTCCTTTACAACAGCAAAAATAATTAGTACAATTCGTGTACAACCTACTGTTAAAAATGATAGCAAAGAAAAACTTCAGCTAGTGTACTCTTAATTAATTATAGCTATGATAATATTGAAGCACCATCAACACATTAGGCAAGGGAATAAGTGTCCTGAGCATTCACCACAAATAGCTGATCCTTAACTCTTCCTTTAAAAAAGGAACTCAACTTTGTAATGAGGGTTATGTATAGATCATATTTTTAACATTATGTTTATTAGATTTAAAAAAGAAGAAGCATGATCATATATGTGTGTGATGCTTGAGTGGACTCGGTGCCTTTCACTCTGATAATGTACGAGGCCCCAAAAGTGCACCTTGCACATGTCGCAACTCATTGCCTCAACCCAATCACAGTAATTAAAATAAAACTAAACTAGTGATATAGATCCCAATAATAATGGAATTCAACAACATTTTAAGTGATTAAGAATATGAAATTATGAATATCATAAGCTAATAAGGCCATCAATGTTATACTCGCAGCTAATTGTTTTGTCTACAGCACGATCTGATTCCTACTTAGTACTTAAGTCTTTGCTTATACAAGCATAAAATAAATTCTGAAACAATGGCAAATGGAATTTCAACTAGCTTGGGGTGAGCATTGTCAGAATTGATTTCAACTGAGGTGAGCATCACATGAATGAATTTCTTAGAGTCATGTAACAGGAATATGCCATTAAAAGATAAAAAAAAATCAATTCAATCAGAGCAAGCTATTATTCTATCCCATTAATCCATGTCATCTACAAAGGCTCAGTTTGAAGATGAGAGGTTTCACATTCAGACTCAGATGCTTAAGATACACGCAAATGCAAAATTTCCAGATCTAATTAACACAATTGAAACACACACAAGACTAGACAAAATTAAGGCAACCCTTAACCACCAACTCCCTATTAAAAAGGGAATTACATCCTAGACTTTTAGTAATCATTTTCAATGGGAAACTATGCCATTCAATCATTCAAAAGGAAAGCATGTCCACTGCACCCAAGTATATAGATGAACAGCCTTATAGGAGTCTCATCAAATGTAACAACAAATGGGCTCCTACCAAATAACTCAATCATAATCTTGATAAACCAAACCGACATTTTATTGTTTCTTTTTATTCTAGATATGGAATAACCACCACCAAAAACACTCTAAAAACAGTTAACTCAAAATAATATCCAATTCCAGATATATCTTCCACTTGATCCCGGGATATCTTATCTTCCTATCCACATGATAGTTTTCCCAAACTTGAACATAACTGTCCATTAAAAATTTGGAACATACAGCTAGTGGATACTTCAAACAGGTAAAAGACGCTTTTATCAAAGTTCAACAATCAGCATTGATGCTAAAACATATCAAAGACATCTGCAAGAAACAAATCCAGAAAATATAGGACCTCAACAAAATCAATCATAATAATCAGCATTGTTGCACATAAATAACCAGTGCTTCTAGTAGCATCAAACTCATTGCTGAACTTTTCAACCTACAAAAAAAAAAGAAAAAAAATAACTGGCTTCTTTGAATAGGATGTATGCAGTATAAATGATTGTCCATATCATCAAAAGAATTTTAAAATTGGCATAAAGAACCAAATTGAATGCTTGGATGGAGAAATGAACTAACCTCTTCAGCTTGTGTAGGATCAGAATTTACTCCTAGAACTGGAATTGAGTCATCCAAGAAATGACTGGCCTGCAAAAGAGTGCCGTCACCACCATCTGTAACAACCAAATCAACATTATGAATTGGTTGTGATAAGTTGTTACGAAATATGGGTTTCCAGTCAATTGTCTTCTGCTGTAAAATTTTATGAAAAATGTTTATGGCCTCTTTGTGCACCTTACACCTATTATCAATATAATGGAAAATCTGTGACCATGCCAAGAGAAAATTTCAGTGCAACTAATAAATTAATTCTAGTGGAAGGATAGATACAGGGTGAAGTAAACGAAACAATGATCATAAGAAGTGTTCTAAAACCATAGGAGAATAGAATCTAAAAGAAGTGTTTGCATCCTAACAAGGAAAAACATGACACGATACAGGGGAGTGTATGTGCCACAATAATGCCAAGGTACACTGTACGCACAGGACATGTATAGTCATTATCTGGATGGAACATGAATGTATTATGAAAATGTAAATTAATTTATTTATCATTACATTCTAATATCAAAGCAAAGTTTGAAAGCCTTCATGAGATCAGAAGCCCATTACACTATATGAAAGGAGCTTTAGAAAGAGTTGGTACACGCACACATAAGTTGAAGTCAAAAGATACTAAAAGGGAGAATGTTTCTACACATCGTTTAAGTAGGCTAGGAAGCCAATAAAGGTAAGCATTTTACATACGTGAGGCCTCAAAATTTGCTCTTCAAAACTAGTAATCACAATTACGTTTGGACTTGTATTTCATACATTTTCTTCATCATCAATTTAGGTGAAAGCAAGTAATCTGATCATATGCTTACAGCTTTGGGTTCTCTAATTTTAACACAAAAGATAGGCATTGAGTTGAAAAACACTCGATAGGCTACCAAAATTAGTGGGAAACTAATACAAAATTTTAAAAAGGAGACCTTGATAATCAATAGCCAACATTAATAAACAGCACAGAGCAGAAGAACCCACGTTATATTCCTAGAAATCCACTCTACAAATCTTTGTGGAACTGAAACAAGCAATAAACACAAGATCCTGATTCCTTCTCATAAACATATTAGTAGCAACTAAAACATGGGGGGAAAACACTCAAGGTTAGTTTTTTATCAAACAGAAAAATAGCATCTTAAACATGAACGCTATGGCTCAAAAGAAGCCAAAAACAGATAACGAAATGAATGCAAGAAACAAACTAAGGCAAACCCAACAGGGGAAAAATCGAAATAAATATAATATTCGACATTTCATCAAACACCAGGAATGCTAATGTAAACTAAACAAAAACAAATCAGATACGTTGACGGAGTTAACTGAAGGTCAGTTCTTCATTTATAATATTACCCGCGGATTGGTGAAGCGAGAAACAGCGTTTGATTGAGTAACTTGGTAGACGTCAAAAGGCTTCATGAGCAATAAAAGCTTTCTTCTCACCATTTTTTGTTTTCTATGTCAAAGAAGAAAGCTTTGCTGTGTCGCCTGGTGGAAAATGCAAACAAGGCAGGCGTCTAAGGCTCGCGAGTTAGCCCAAGCCTGCACGCCCAACCATATACTTTGGCAGGCTTGAGAGCTGGATTTGCGCAACAAATCAATTTAATTCCAGCGCTCTCATAAACATTAGGGTAAATTACACGGGTGACCACTCAACTATTGTCTATTTTCATTGACCATATGTACAATTTGACACCATTTTAACGTAATCCTCTCAAATATCATTTCTTAAATCATAGCGGTTCTTCCAAGTTCTCTGCAAAGAGAAGTGATGGGGAAAACCATTATCGTCTTTGTGTTAGTAGCTTTAATCTCTTGTTTTTACTCAGAATTTGGCACTTCCTACAGACACTTTGACAGCATCAAAATCCATCAAAGACCCTGAAGTTATAATCTCCAAGAGTGAAGTTTTCAGGCTGGGATTCTTCAGCATTGCTAATTGTTCCGTTGGCATTGTAAGTCAATTATCTATTTTGTTTTTCCTTTCTTCTTCTCCACCGCCCTCATTCTTTTCTTAATGAAAAAGATTGTTGAAGTAGATTCCAGCAGACATAGTTGTTAATACAATGTTGGAATACTTAATGGCATGTTGAGACTATGCGCGAGCTTTATTTTGTTATTAGTGATATATGGAAGTAGATTCTTTTCTTCAGTCTTGTTTCCTATAACCCACAAGTTTTAAAATAAGATGTACAATACTATTGGCAGTGGCAAGTGGCAACATTGCCGATATCCAAAGGGAAAAATAGTTTTATTACAGTGAAAGCAACTCTTTCTATTTTGGTTATTAAATTAACATTTTTTAATTAAAAACATAAATGTTAAGAAAAACATTTTCTAAAATATATCTTAACTTTAACAAATAATTTTTTCTCCTTTTTTTTTTTATTAATCTAAGTTTTCTCTCAATATTTTTGTGTCATCTTTCTCTTTCCCTTACAAGAGAAGGAAGATTCATGGAGGAAAAGCAATGTTTAAGTCCGAGAGATAGCATGGGAAGACAAGTTCGTGTTCTGTCTGAAACAATCGTGTTGGAGAATGAGATGAAGTTGGCTTCGGATTACAAAAAACTTCTCAAACCCAACGATGTGGCTCCAAAAATGAAACAATTGGGGTTGATGAGGTGATGATGCCTGTCTTCTTTAATATAAAATAATTTGAAAAACTAATTATAAATATTGAAAAACAGGGAAAAAGAATATGGGTGGTACAATACCTATGGGTTTACAAAGGCTCTGGGAGAGATGTTGATTGACAGTATGAGAAGCAAAATATCAGTGCCCATAGTAATAGTAAGACCCAGTGGAGTCTTAAGCACTTACAGGGAGCCTTTTCCTGTTTGGATTGAAGAAGTAAGTACTTTAATTTAATTAACACCGACTGTATATTCATTATTAATGTTTATATTAACCATCTTTTACTTTTCTTTCAAGGATGATCGATCCTGTAATTCTATACTATGGTAAAGGTACGCTAACTGGTTTTCCGCTAAACCCCGACTGTTGCAGTCACTTTGTTAGTAATTTCTTCTTTTTTCCTTTCTTATTCTCTTCCTTGCTTATTATTTTCTTAATGAAAGAGTTTGTTGAAGTAGATTCCAGCAGACATAGTTGTTAATACAATGTTGGGAATAATGGCAAAGCATGTTTCAATGTCCAAGAAATCAGAGCTGAGTTTCTACCACCTTTGTTCTTCTTCTTCAAACCCTATAGTTTTTGAGGATCTGCTTAACTTAATCTACCAACACTTCAAATCCCATCCTTTCATCCATTCCAATGGTCGACCAATCCGAATCTCAGAAACGAAATTCTTTAACTTACTACAACGTTTCTTAAATCATCTGTGGAGATCATCAGAAGCCGCTGTTGCTGCCCCTTTGCCAAGTCAATTTTCGTCCACGAAGCTGATCGAATCTATGAATTTTAGGAACATGTTGATCAAGTGGCCACCATTTACTCGGCCTACACCTTTGATACTTACTGGTAAAACCCCATATTTGTTGATAAAATATAAATATTTTAACTGTATTGCCCAAGGAATTAAGTTCATTTCCACAAAATGATTGGTATGATGGACGAAGCTAAAACCCGAGATTTGATTGAAAGCATGTCTGAAGAAGAGAAGAAGAAATTTGAATGTGACGGGAAAAGCATAGACTGGATGGATTACATTGTGAATGTTCATATTCATGGCTTAAAGAGACATGTCTTGAAAGAGAAGCTCTCATCTAAAATGTAATTAGAGATTCATCTAAAATGTAATTAGAGATTCATCTAATCTCTATTATATTTACTATGTGACACACTTCATAGAATATATTTATAAGTTTCAGTTAAATAAATATAAATTAATTTTTATATATTCTCTGAAAAAATAATAAATTAATCTCAGCCTTTTACTTCCCCCATCTAATAATCATTTTTTATTAAGTTAAAAGTGATTTCAAAGTAGTATCTTTTTAAATATTCTCAACCATTTGACAATGAACGCTTTATATCACCATTGTAGTCGCTAGTGCTCGAACTTATAACTTCTAGAAACAACAATAATTTCTTTAACCAGTTTGTACACCCCCATTCAACAATCCTAAAAAAGTGTACAACTAAAAATTTTAATTATCAACGTTTTATAAAAATAATAAATTATTACGATTTTTTAGTTCATTATAATCTTTTAATTATCCTAGCCCCAAAAAATATGAAATATGAGTGGACATGGTGATCCACGCGAGTTGAATATTTTTTTCGTTGAAAATTTAACCATTATTGCCGTATGTAAGAAGTCAAATGGGAATTGACTTTCAAACCCCAAAGTCAAAGGGAGATTACGTTCAAAGTCAAACGATGAAATAAAAACCTTGAAGTAAACATTTGCAGCTGCCATGAAGATCATTCTATCATATCAAAATCGCTTTATTTTGTAAGAGGTCCTTATACTATGCATTTTCTTTTACAAATTAAGTTCTTTTATAGTTGTCTACTTTTCGAAATTATGTATCTTAGTCTTCAAGTCAATTTTTTATGTTGATTCCATCAAATAATGATTATAAAGAAGGATTAAACCTGATACCAATGTTAATTAAAAACTTAGAATAGTGATATTCTTTCGTTTATTAAGCGTTGAAGCTTATATTTTAGTGATATTCTTTCGTTTATTAAGTTTTGAAGCTTATGGAGTTCTTTACTCTCCAAGAGTGTTGTACATCCTTCAAATTTTCTCCGACTTCTTGTCATCATAGTCTATTTTCAGATAATCATATTTATTTATCATGTCAACCTACGAGTAGCCATCATCATAACTTTAGATATGACACTAATAATAAAGGTCATATAAAACCCCTCAGCCTAAATTAGGAGGGGATTCGACTTCTTCCTCTACCTCTCTCTTTACCTAGAGATAGAGAACATTGTTTATTTTCTTTAACTGATCATCGATCGTATCCTTATTTATTACAACTCTTTGTGTAAATCAAAAGAGTTGAATCATCTTCAATCGACAGAACACACATTGTTACTATCAACAAATAGATAACGAGAGAAGGTGAACTTATAGTAGAATGACTAAATCCATCAAGAAGCCATAGTACAGGGACCTTATGTACAATTTGACATCATTTTAATTTAATCCTCTCAAATATCATTTCTTAAATCATAGCGTTTCTTCAAAGTTCTCTGCAAAGAGAAGTGATGGGGAAAACCATTGTAGTCTTTGTGTTAGTAGCTTTAATCTCTTGTTTTTACTCAGAATTTGGCACTGCTACAGACACTTTGACAGCATCAAAATCCATCAGAGACCCTGAAGTTATAATCTCCAAGAGTGAAGTTTTCAGGCTGGGATTCTTCAGCTTTGCTAATTCAAGCAATCGTTATGTAGGGATATTGTACAATCAAATCCCGGTACAAACTGTTGTATGGGTAGCAAACAAAAACAAGCCCCTAAAAGACTTTTCTGGGATTCTCGGGATATCAGACGATGGAAATCTCGTTGTTTTGAATGGAAAATCAGAGATTATTTGGTCATCAAATGTTACCGGTTTAGTCCCTAATACAACTGCCCAGCTTTTAGATAGTGGAAACCTTGTCCTCAACAATGGCGATGACAATGGAGCAAGCTTGTGGGAGAGTTTTCAACACCCTTCAAATGCCTTCATTGAAACCATGAAGATCAGCACCGATGTAAAAAAGGGTAAGAAAGTGCAGATGAGATCATGGAAAGGCCCTGACGATCCATCTGATGGTAACTTTTCTCTTGGTCTTGAACCTTTCAATATTCCAGAGAGCGTCGTTTGGAACAACAACCAGCTCTACTTTAGGACCGGCCCATGGAATGGTCGTATCTTTATTGGCTTGATACGTATGGATAGTCTTTATCTCGAGGGGTTTTATGTTGATGCAGATGGTGAAGAGCAAACGTATTATTACACTTTTGATTTAGATAATTATTCTATGGTGAAGTACTATGAACTCGACCCAGAAGGGAGATTTATGGAACGCTATTGGGATGATGGCAACGGGGAGTGGGTAAACGGATACCCTATTCTTTTTAACGACTGTGATATTTATGGGAAATGCGGTGCGTTTGGGGTCTGTGACTCAACGAAACGACCCATTTGCAACTGTTTGAAGGGGTTTGAGCCTAAGAATGTTGAGGAATGGCGTCGAGGGAATTGGAGTAGTGGGTGCGTTAGGACTACCCATTTGCAGTGCCAAAGAGACGATAACAATGGCGGTGAAGCGGGACAAAATGATGGGTTTTTGAAGATGGAAATGATGAAAGTGCCGGCATTTCCCAACCGGTCATCGATAATCTACGGCGGGTGTGAAGATCGGTGCATGAAGGACTGTTCGTGTGTGGCTTATGCGTATGATGATGGCATCGGTTGCATGTATTGGAGTGGAGATGTGATTGATGTGCAGAAATGTCCATTTGGGGGAGTGGATCTTTACATTCGTCTACCATTGTCGGAGCTCTTTAAGGATGTGTTAATGTCGACCACGTGTTTGTTAAATTGCGTTAATGATCTGCTTAAATAAATTCATCACACAAAAAGTCAGTTAATTGACTTAATTAATCGAATTGATTAATATTGAATCAATTCAGTTAAACCAATCAATACCTACGTTAGTCTATCGATTTGCAGGTAAAGAGAAAGACAAAAGTAAGGTCATTGTTCTTACAACACCAATTGTGGGCATAATCATCATTGCAATTTCTGCACTCTTCTTATGGTGTTGGATGGCTAAAAACGGTGAGAAGTTCGAACTCCATTCTCTACATTCATTGCTTGAAATAGAATCATTCGAGCTCGAATTGCTTATATTCAATTCAATAATACTCAATCATACTCGAATAACTCGATGTTCTTCCCCGTAAAGGATAAATAAATCGAATCTCGATTTATAGGTATTGTGACAATATAGGTAACTTTGAATTCTTTGCCTCTCTGAACTCTAAATCCAGGAAGGAGACAAAATCGAAAACATCAATTCAACTATTCAATCGAAGTTAAGCTCCAGCAGGAGTTACCACTATTCAAATTCGAAGAACTCGCCTCCGCAACCGACAACTTCCACCACAAGAAGAAGCTGGGCCAGGGCGGTTTCGGTCCAGTTTACAGGGTAATAACAATGAGCAGATCAATCGTCACTCGTCAGTCAAACGACATTTATATTTTCTAGCAAGATTTCTGAGGTGACTTTTGGAGTGTGCAGGGAACAGTGGCGGATGGAAAGGAAATAGCGGTGAAGAGATTGTCGAAATCTTCGGGGCAAGGGTTGGAAGAGTTCATGAACGAAGTGGTGGTGATTTCTAAGCTCCAACATCGGAATCTGGTTAGATTGCTTGGGTGCTGTGTAGAAGGAGAAGAGAAGATGCTCGTGTACGAATTCATGCCCAACACAAGTTTGGATGCTTCTCTTTGGTTAGTAATCTATGCTCCAAAACTTATACATTCTATCAATTTTAGTCCTCAAAATTTATATATTTTATCAATTTAATTTTAATTTGAAACAATTTAATAAATTTAACTGTTCATATCTAAAACGCTATCAATTTATTATTTGTTATTTTCCTAAATTTCTTGTTCTTCTCACATAAATGATATCCTATTTTATTAGTAGAATAACAATTTAACATTAGCTTCTTGTTGTTTTATGTATAATCTTTATAATAGAATATAGTTATCCAATTATTGCTTCTATCTGATTGACCTGTTAGGTTTGATAGTATCGCAACAAAGAACTAGATTGATGGAATTTTAAAAATATAAATAGTTGTACTAACTAATAAAATATACAAGTTTTGAGACTAAAATTATTATTATACCATACCGTATTTGACGCTTGTTTTAATTCTAACAGCTAGTGGTCTGCTTATAACAACATTTTAATTGAGTGATTAAATTATTTTTTTTTTAAAAAATCAGTTTGTAACTGAATTAATAATTGAGTGACTCGTGGTGTAGTTTACCCTTCTTTTTATCATCTTCCATTGTACAATTTAAAGCCATGATTAAAGGATTTAATTGTATAATCAATGATGTAGATGCAGTTAAACAAAAAGTCTTGGATTGGGGAAAACGGTTCAGCATAATTGAAGGAATCAGTCGAGGGCTGCTTTATCTTCACAGAGATTCGAGACTGAGGATTATACACAGAGATCTAAAAGCAAGTAATGTTTTACTTGACCAAGACCTAATTCCTAAGATTTCAGATTTTGGGATGGCCAGGATTTTCGGAGGCAATCAGAATCAAGCTAACACCAGAAGGGTTGTTGGAACTTAGTAAGTTTCAATTTTCTCATTCAAATTTTAAAATATCAATATCGTATTAATCCGATCTTTTCACTTAACAATGCAGCTCATGTATCTCAATCTTGATGTGGACATGAGCTGCATTGTTAATGTGTGTACTGTCTGCATGTTAGATCTAAATTGTTCATATGATAAGTACACGTACTTACGATTTGATTCATTGTTTTAAAAGATGTCGAATTTGAATTGTTATTTAACGACTGAATTAATTACTACACTGACGGAAAGACCTGATTGATATCACGATGTTTAAAAGAGTTCATGCTTAAATCCTAATTGTGACCGATCTTTTGTTGTTTTATGTTGAAATGCAGTGGTTATATGTCTCCTGAGTATGCAATGCAAGGGCAATTTTCGGAGAAATCAGATGTATTCAGCTTTGGGGTTCTATTACTAGAGATTGTTAGTGGAAAAAAGAACACAAGCTTTTACAACAACGAGCATCATCTTAGCCTACTGGAATATGTAAGTCTATAACATGAAGAAGAGTTGAACTGAAATGCTGTTTCAGGCTTTGATAGCGAAAACTTCATTAAATTAAGAGAAAATCGCCTCAGTGACCAAAAAAAAGTTATAATATACGATTTTAACCAACTTTTTTTGGATTTGCCAAAATGACCAACAAAATCGCAACGCGAAATAAAAATCGCAACGCGATCCCCAGAATCGCAAATCAGTTTCCAGAATCGCAAATCAGTTTCCAAAATCGCAACGCGATTCTTGAAAATCGCGATGCGATAGTACAAATTCGCATTGCGATTTTCCATAATCGCAACGCGAATATGAAAATCGCAACGCGAACACATAAATCGCAACGCGTATCCGTAAATCGCAACGTGTATCCGTAAATCGCAACGCGTATGGGTAAATCGCAATGCGTATCCGTATATCGCAACGCGTATCCGTAAATCGCAACGATAATACATAAAATCGCAACGCGTATCCGTAAATCGCAACGCGATATTTAAAGCGCCATTATAATCGCTACGCGTATTTTATTTTCAAATTACAAAAAGAATATTAAGACAAAATCCCGTAATCGCAACTCATAACCTAAAACCTAAAATCACAACTCAGTCCCATCTCCATCTCTCACTCTCTACGGCGAAGAAATCCGTCCCCATCTCCGAAGATTTCCGTCCCCATCTCCGGCGAAATCCCTCACAACCATTCACGGTCAGAAATCCCTCACAATATTCAGAAATGGAAAATCAACCTCCGAGGGTTAGTTTTTTAATTATTTTTATTTTGAAATGTTTGCATTATTGTAGGTTTTTCATATTGAAACTGATGATAAGTTTACTGGTCATTTCAATAATAGATTAACCATTTCACTTAGATTTCATTTCGCGTTACGATTCTGTCGTTGCGATTTTCATTTCGCGTTGCTATTCTCTCGTTGCGATTTTCAAGTTAGTATTTGTCTTTGTCTTTGTTCTGTCTTTTGGTTGAAGTAATGCAATCCATTCAAGTTTCAATTTGCAGAAGAGTCGCAACGAGATAAATGAAAATCGCAACGAGAGAATGACTGTCGCAACGAGAGAATCGCAACGCGAAATGAAAATCGCAACGAGAGAATCGCAACGCGAAACCAAAATCGCATTGCGATTTTCATTTCGCGTTGCGATTCTCTCGTTGCGATTTTCATTTCGCGTTGCGATTCTCTCGTTGCGATTGTCATCTCGCGTTGCGATTCTCTCGTTGCGATTTTCATTTCAACCAAAAGACAAAACAGTGTTGCAAATTTTAGTTTCAAGAATAAACTACTACTTTTTATGTTTATTGTTTTTGGTATATCTTCACAGTGTAGTTTTTGGTATATCTAACTTGGTATGTTTATTGTTTTTGTAGAAATTTTTTTCGGCTCAATTGACCTTGAGAAATAAAGTCAGCCTGGCCACTACAATTGCAAAGAAGCTTTCACCTGCTCAAAGACAATTGTTTGAGGAAACCTGCTTCGGGCCATGGCTGAGAGTACAGCATCCGGGTGGAGATGCTAATTTGACCCATTTGTGGCTTCAGACCATGACATCAAATCTACCCGACAGTATACAACGTGGTGAGGAAGAGATATGGTTTCATTTTCCACCAGCGTATACTTGCTTTGGGCGGAAGGAGTTCTGCTTAATCACTGGTCTACGATTCGGACACGATGATGTAGGCCGGTACACTCGTCATATCGCCCGCCCATCATGGTTATCCCGGGTTTTTCCGGATGAGTCAATGGAGAAGCCGAACCTACATGTCGACGACCTGAAGAAATTATTTAATAAGAAAGCTGGTTTCACTCGGATGGAAGACGTCGATGTTGTCCGAGTATGCCTTCTACTACTTGTGTATGCCGGCTTTTTAGGCAGAGAGGCCAGACAACCTATTCATCGGGAGCTAATAATATTGGTAGAGGACCTGAATGCATGGAATCTGTTTCCGTGGGGTTCGTATATATGGAAAGCTACCTGGACTAAGTTGTCGTCTGCCTTTGATGACCGCAAAAGTTTGCGGGGCGATGGGTCCAAATACACTTTGTCAGGCTTTGTTTGGGCCTTTAAGGTAAGAATTTCTATATAATGTTTCTAAAATTATAATTAAATTTTTAACAATTACTAATTTTGTTATTATATTGTTTGTAGATTTGGATATTCGAGGCTTTCCCCAGCATGCGTACATATGCAATAAAAACGTCAAATGATATTCCCAGGGCTATTTCCTGGAAGAGGAAAACTCTGTTGGATTGGGAAGACTTAATACCATATGCCACAATAAATAATGTAAGTTAACACAAATACTTTCATATAATATATAAACAAGTTATTAATAGTAGACGTTTAACTTTGTTTGAGTTTTTATATTTTAGGAGGCCAACATTCCATTACAAAGACTGACACCCACGGAGGAAGAGCTTGCCACTGATTGGTGGCAAGCTAGTCAGAATTTTTTTGATGGCACGGATGATGAGCAGCATCCACTTCCTCCAATTCGAGAGCCATCACCTCACCTAGAGCCATCACCCGATCGACCCGACTATACACCTCTAGAACGAGAGCCATCACCTATCCCGTCACATCATCGAGCCTCTTCTCCACCATCACCTCATGATAGGCGACCGGCAAAGATGCCACGACTCCTATCTCCCTGTTCTCCACCTCCACCTCAACGGGATGAGTCAAGGGAGTTACGTGATGAGGTCAATGCCTTGCGTGAGGAGATCGGTACTCTACGCGATAACGATGGTGCATGGCGTGTGGAGGTGTCAACTTTACGTGGTGAGGTTGCCGCTCTACGTGAGATGATAGTATCGTTGCAGAATGAGGTTCATACTCTACGCAACGAGGTAAGTTTAAGATTTTCCATATTTAACTTAATGATAAATTTACTCGTAATTTCACTTAGATTAGCCATTTCACTTAGATTGCTTAGTAAATTTGTTCGGTTGCTGCCAATTCTGCTAAACTGTGTATTCTTTAACACTGTGAAATAGTATTTGTCTTTGTTTTGTCTTTTGGTTGAAAGTAAATTTGTTCGGTTGCTGCCAATTCTGCTAAACTGTGTATTCTTTAACACTGTGAAATATATTTGTCTTTGTTTTGTCTTTTGGTTGAAAGTAAATTTGTTCGGTTGCTGCCAATTCTGCTAAACTGTGTATTCTTTAACACTGTGAAATAGTATTTGTCTTTGTTTTGTCTTTTGGTTGAAAGTAAATTTGTTCGGTTGCTGCCAATTCTGCTAAACTGTGTATTCTTTAACACTGTGAAATAGTATTTGTCTTTGTTTTGTCTTTTGGTTGAAAGTAAATTTGTTCGGTTGCTGCCAATTCTGCTAAACTGTGTATTCTTTAACACTGTGAAATAGTATTTGTCTTTGTTTTGTCTTTTGGTTGAAAGTAAATTTATCCATTCAAGTTTCAATTTGCAGAAGAAGAAATAGTTTACTTTCGCAACACGAAACTTAAAATCGCAACGCGAAACCAAAATCGCAACGCGAAATGAAAATCGCAACGACAGAATCGCAACGCGAAACCAAAATCGCAACGACAAGATCGCAACGCGAAACCAAAATCGCATTGCGATTTTCATTTCGCGTTGCGATTTTGGTTTCGCGTTGCGATTTTAAGTTTCGTGTTGCGAAAGTAAACTATTTCTTCTTCTGCAAATTGAAACTTGAATGGATTGCATTACTTCAACCAATAGACAAAACAAAGACAAATACTAACTTCAGGGTATTAGTTTGAAACATATTTTTCTTTGTTATCTGATGCATTTTGTGAACTATGATAGAATAATGACTTGGGTGAATAAAATGCAAGTTTGAAACATATTTGTCTTTGTTTTCACTGTTTAAATATCATGTCTGTTTATTTACTGATTTTTGTATTTAATTATTTAGCGGCCCGATAGAGTGGATGCTTTACGTCGGGTTATGCTTGCACGACGGAGTTCACGCATCAGACAGCGTGCACGTGCTATTAAGTCTCCGTACACCCCAATAGTGCGAAGACACCGCAAGAAGAAGCCCGACTCGCCTGTCATCCCTCAAGAGTCCACTCCTATCGTTGAAGAGGCCCCCCATATCATTCCTCGAGAGTCCCCTCCCACCGTTCAAGAGGCCACTGTCATCATTGAAGAGGTCCCTCCCACCATTCAAGAGCCCGATTCACATGGCGTCATATGTAGGCTTCTTGAGAAACCCTCTGACGTGCCGGACATGATGGATTCAAGTTGGCTCTCGTATGAGTTACCGGCCAGTACCATACCGGTATCTGAAGAGGAGAGGGAACAACTACCGGACACAATTTTGGATAACACCCTTTGGGCTAAGACCGCAGTTGATTTTTATCTACATGAGCGGAGCAAGGGGTGTTTCACTGACATATGCAAGCTCACCGATGATATCTTTTTGTTGCTTGAACGGCCTTGGTGGGGCGTATTATTAGGGGTCGAAGACAATGGCTATTTCGATGGGGGGGTAAGTCTTATATTTTTCTTATATTTCAATTTGATTAATTTTTTTTTTAAATTTATGTAAGTCACTAATATATGTCTTTTTTTGTAAAACAGCATATCGATGCGTGGGTGACACGTCTTCTAATAATAAGAAAACTTAAGAAAAATAAAAATATACGATATACAATAATGCCGACGTCTTTTCACGCCGTTCACTTGAAGAATGCACGAGATGAATCATTTGATTTGGGCAATGGACAAGCTAAACTTTATCCTGCATGGTGGGAGGTCGATAAGGTTAGTATTTATTTTAGATTGAGTTTAAAGGTTTTATGAAATAAGTGCGCAAATGAATGAATTATTACTTATGATTGCAGGTGTTTATCCCTGTTTTGGAACGTAAACATTGGATTCTCGTCGAGCTTCAGCTCCCATCCCTTAAGACAATAGTGTATGACAGCATGATAAATTACATATCATTGTCTGATTTAAGAGATGTTATTAAGGGATGGAGCTCTCATTTGG